CTCTCAGCTCCACCTTCCCCCTTCCCTTATCTGTCATGCCCTCGCTCAGCTGTGGGCAAGAAGGACCATCTCGAAGGAACAGAGGCACGGTCTGCTGCCTTTGCTGCAAGATAAGGCGGCACGTACCAAGGGTTACTGTGAGCCAGCTGACACGGTACAAGTTCACACCCAGCTTATCTGGCTGCAGCTTGTTTCACGCACCTGAAATGAGCTGAAGGAAAAGTCTACCAGACTGCCCTACTACTTAGCACACTGCTGAATTAATGAACCTGGGCTCGTACACAAGTCTGCATCACCAAAAATCTTTTCTTCTTTCATTGCATGCAGCACCATATACTCAGAATTTCTCCTTCTACACAGTTCCATTTGGTCGATACTTAAGTACCCACCCAGGCTGATTTACCTTGATAGCACAGTCCATTTTCCACACATTTATTCATGAAGCTCTTATAACTGCTGGCTGGAAATACATCAACTTCAAATCTAATGCTATCCCAGTTAGGAAAAAAAAAAAAAAAGGCAAAAAAAACCCCAACCCACAAAAACCCTCTCTTCCCAAAGATGAGAATTTTATTCCGCTCTGAACAGCAAGCAAAGACCTACATGCCTGAAAGAAAGGGAATTATTTTAAATTGTTTTCAATTAAAACAAAACAACCCCCCCCCCCATAATGTTAGTATGGGGAGATCAGTCCTGTGAAGGGATCCACGACGGCAGAGTCCTGCCGTGAGCCCCTCAAGCCTGAGGCTATGCTCCAGTGGAAGACCCACAAGGTCTGGATGAAGGCCAGAATGCTCTCTCACTGGAAAGACTGAGCTTCTGCTCCCAGCCAGGGCTGTGGGGTGATGGAAAGAGCACTTTGGGGACAGCGTAGTGTGGCAACTGGGCACAAGGCCAGCCATGAAAAAAGGGCATAAGCAAGCACTCTGCTGTAAATACAAACTCAGGTATCTCAAGCTGCAAAATGGAACTGCTTTCTTCTTCTTTTTGTGTGGATCTTCTCCACACATACACTCCAAGCAGGAGGGTTCACTCTGCCTACTACACATCATCTGCAGATCATTTCTGGAAATGTCTTGTCTAGGCTGCAGGATCCACGATGCTCTATTTGTACCGAGCTTTGCTTAGGTTTTGCCTCTTAGCATAGGATTCGCCCGTATCAGAAAGTTTGTTAAGACCTTGATAAGACCTCAAGCATCACTTCAGCCCATAACCAAGTCTTTGTGAAAATTCTGAAAGGAAATCTCTGCAGCTCTCCAGCACTACCACGTCGTTTTCCCTTCTGTCTCCATCTCCTTGAATTAAGCAACCTTCACTTTAAAATCTTGTGTCGGATGCAATGTACCGTTCTCATGCTGGGGAGCACCATTTTGATTTCAGGCTTATTTGGGAAAGTCTGCTCTCAGATCCATGTGCTGTGGTTACGGTCTCCCAGCAAGGGTGGTTTTCTTTGCCACTGGCTGCTGGGGAGAATGTGTGTTTTGCTGCCACATCCTTCATCCACAAATGTAAAAGAGTCCAAGGGCTGCCCAGGGGGTTCCCCTTCCTTATAATCTCTCTCACACATATGCACGGATTATCAGCATCAGAAAGGCTGAAGACGTAAAGACCAAAAACATCCTCCAGAAATAAATTAATGTGCTGGAAGAAACTACTGCCTCCAGGAGCTAGGGATCTGCATATGTGACTCTATTGAGAAACACCACCACCACTACCCTAACAAGAGTAAACAAGCAAAATAACAACAGTGGTGATTCAGATTAGCCATAAAGTTACGACCCATATAGGGCTGGATACTGCAGTCATTGTTCAGGTGGAATTCCTGCCGAAGTCCATGGGTTTACATGGGATTGTATTAATTGGACAAGTACATCGGCATAGTATTCTGCCCCTAGTCCACATACAAAACTCCAGGTGAAGGTTGAAATCCCTGTTACCTTCACGTAATACTGCTACTGTCCTTCAGCATCCTCTGCAACTCACAAATGCACGCATGCACTCATGTACACACGTGTTGTTCTTGCCATGCAGCCATGCTATCAGTCTCTATTTCTTATCTGTGATCTTGTCTCAGTATCCACCTCCACTTTTTCTGCTGGGGAAGATGCACGTCAGCACCTTTTGCTGCCTTTCTGCTCTACGGAAGTGAAAGGCTGAAACCACCATTGGTAAGGCCAAAGCTGAGAAGGTTACTGATGGGTAGAAAGTTTCAGTAGGAGAATGTTCTGGAGGACAATTAGAATTTGGCAGGGAGCTTTCAGAAGCCCTTGCCTGGAATTTGTAAACGCCCTTCTAAAGCAAATACCAAAACTTGAAACAATGCTGATACCTGCAGACAATTTATAATGAGATGAAGATGGAGCAGTGGTGTGATTTCTAACCTCTTAGTCTTCCCCTGCAAGCTCAGATAGCAGGGTTTTTCACGGGGGAGGCAGGAAGAAGACTGTTCTTGTGACCTCCAGAAAGAGATGGCTGACCCCACTCAGCTGCAGCTTCCTGAGTGGTAAAATTTAATTGCTACAAGGACTGCACAGAGAAAGAAGAAAGAATAAAGAAAAAGCCCAGCGTCTGCATCCCCATCACTGACTGAGATGAACCGGAAGGAAACATTATGCAGTTTCTTTGTAGAGAAGCCCATGCAACACCACTGACCTAGTGCTGTTCGGGATTGCGAGGACCCGGTACTTCAGGTTTTTTACAAACTGAGCTGACGTGGAGCAGCAATGCCACAAGGGCAAGAATTAAATGCACTGTCATTGCCCAAGGACCAGAAGAGATCCCACGTTCGATGGAGCTGCAGCGTGTGATCCCTCAGATATTTATGATGTATCCAGGAATTCAGCCAGCCCTGAAATATTTTTTTTCCTCAAGTACTTAAGTATCATGTGGCATCAGGAGCTCTGGGATAGGTGGCTGCACCTGAAAGGAATGTGAAGAACACTGTACAGGGAGGTGCAATGCCCACAAAGACATAACCTGCAAGGACAGTCCTGCACTACCAACATCTCCAAATGTAATGGCTTTCTCTCTGTGGCTGAGGAGGAAAGTCATCTGTCTATGCTAACTTCAAAGGATGACAGCATCCTTTCCCAGGATTAGCCTTTTTTTGGACTTCTTGCAGAGTGTCAGACTGGGATACCATCAGGACGATTGGGAAGTCTCCATTCATGGTAAAATCTGGAGAAAAAACCACCAAGGGATTTTTGTTCCCTTGTCTGAAAGGAGAAGCTTAATTACTCCAGTCAGGAACTCCCAACCTCAGCAATGTTCCTTTCCTTATTTTGAAATTTGTAAGTTGTGCCTCTTAAACATGCTGGGTTACACACACATTAACTAGAAAAGCACAGAAATAAATGAGATGTAGCAGGCTTGTAAATAAATGGATAAAATGCCAATAAGAAAGAAATGGATTGCTGAAAAGTTCAGAACATTTTTCCATGCCAGTGGCTGTGATCTGCTCTTGGAACTCGGAGCCTTGCTGATGCTGAGATGTGCCACAGTTGTCTTTTGCATGTTCATGGTCTGGCTCTTCAAATGATGTTGAAATGACAAATTTCAGGCCAAATTGTGCTGGCAACTAGCCAAGTATCAGCTGAGCCCTCTCTGGCAACGCTTTCATACATTTCTTACCCAAATGGACAGCTTAAGCAAGAACCTGCAAAGCTAAAATTCAGAAATAAGAGGCAATGGGACGAGGGCCAAGGCTGATCTTTTTTCCCCATCTTGTAGCTATCAGAAGAAGGAACGCTGTAGTGTAGGCCTGAGCGGTCTAAACATGAGTTTAGTCAATGGTGTTCAGCAGACAGGCTCTGATGTGTGATATGTCATAGCAGGAAACCGTGCCCCTGGTACGAAGACTGAAGTCATGGTGCCACGAGAGAAGCTCCTTGACTAAGTCCCAGCCGTAGCCGGGCAATAGTATCGTTGGCTCGGTGGGAGAGGCTCCTTCCAGATGCAGCCTGGGCAGGGAAGTCCAGAACAAAGCTTACAGCCATGCCACCCCGAGACAGCACAGAAGCCAAGTCAGAGCCAGCAACAAGCGGCTGGGCCTCCTGCATTTAGACTAGAAAGCAGAAAGAAAAAGGCAATGCAGGGCTGGGAAAGCAGAGCTGGTAGGACAAGCTCTGCCTCTTTCAGGAGCTCATATTTACTTGGACTTACAGTTTCAGCCATTTAAAGGGAAGTGAAGAAGCAAAGTGCAGTCAGAGGACAGCAAACCCCAAGGAGATCCCCGCTAGAGACAGATCGGAGGAAACAAGAAGGAAGTAAAGCCATCTCCTGTCTGGCATCTTATCTAATATTGGCCATAGAGGAATGAAGAATGACAGCGTTAAAAAGGGGATCCCATCCTCCAAAATTTAACCAATCTGTCGAGAAAAGCGGTCCTCCATAGCAGTGGTACCAAATAGAAAGAAGCAAGAAATGTGATCTCAGTATGACCTTCTCTTGATCTTAAAGAGCCTTCCTTTTCCTCTCTCCCGATTTCATCGGCTCCTATGAAGAAAATTCACACCAGCTGTCTAGCTGACAGGGATTGGTCTGCACACAGAAGAAAGCAACAACGAACAGGACACCTCAAATCACAAACTGCAACTTAGACAAAAATAAAACCCTTTGATTGACCCAGTCAATCCCATTCCTTAAGCAAAAAAAGTTGTCTTCTGAAGGTTTTGCAAAGGGAAAACTTCTCTGCACTGCAATAGGAATGCGGCTGATTTAAAAAAATGGAGTTGATATATTCCATGCAGCATATTTCTTGCCTAGGTATATACTGTATCATGTTAAGTAAACTTTCATATATAAAACAGCTTACATCAGTTTTAAGTTGTATTTGCTTTCCTGTCCCTGTTAAGTGTTAAAAGATCATGGTATTCAGGGGAAGAACAGAATTGTCATTATTTTTGAGGCTCAATAACGCATGTTATACATCACAGAAGCTTATATTTCCCCAACATACAGGAATATGAGTCTATATTTGATTAACATAAAAAGACCCTTACCAGAAAGTGAGTAATCTGTATTAGTCATCCGCATGGCTGGTGTATAAGATACACTTGGCATGTCATGGCCCTTCTCCTTCTGTTTCCGTCGATACCACACAAACAGTGCCAGCAAGACCATAATAATTAGAAGGAGAATAATAATTCCAATGATTGCTCCCACTGAGTGCCTCTCTGATCCAAGAGCAGGGCTAATTTTAGTATAGGGGTTTAATTCCTCCATCATAAGAGCCGCTGTTAAAAGTAATTCATAACACACTGTAAATTGAATCATTCATTTCATTTTTTAAATACTATTTTTTTTAAAGCAAGTACATCATTGAAGAGGGAGAGACAGAAAGAGAGAGAGAGATATTTTACAGATAGAATTTCACTGTACCTTGATCACATCGGATTCCCTTGAAGCCTGGACTGCAGTAGCAAGTACCTGTGACATGGTCACATGTAGCATTATTCATGCATTCACATAGTTGTTTGCAACCATAACCGAATGTTCCTGGTGAGCACTCTGGGAAGTCAAAGAAAAAGATTGGAAAGAATTCTACTTTTTTCAGGAATAGGTGAAATGCTTGCCATGGAAAATGCAGTAGAAAAGTCTCCCTGGTTTCAGTGTCTATAGGATGACACCCAAGTGTAAGGTGGTTATTATGTTAAAGCAGGAGATAAATGTCTTTAGTGTACGTTTTGGGGTATTACTTATTAAGCTGTAACTTTCTGGAAAAGTCATGCAAGCATTCACAAGGATGAAACCAATAATACGTACAGAGACTTTAAAAGGCTTTTATATATATTACAAGTGTACAGAATTTAACAGGGCATGAGCTCAGAAGCTGTAGACAACGTCTTGAAAGAGCATAGCATTCTCCACCAACTCTGCACATTTTTTTTTCATGGCAAAGAAGATTTAATGTACCTTTATATAAACACAACAGACTTTTACCAAACAAATCCTACATGCTTTCATACTTATCCCTATTAGTGCTAGAAGATAAATATAACATTGTAGGTGGAATTACAGAATTGAGCATCTGAATGGTTTGATTTGCTCTGCTTCTGTATAAGGATTCCTAATATAGAAGGAATTTCTATGCTGTCTTTGTGTTTCTATCAAATGATTAAATGTCCAGCTGAGAAATTTATTCATACAATTACCATGATGGGCTATTACAATAAATCTGTAGGCAGCTTACTATACTTACTGAGGTGCTATTCAACAATAAATCAAAAGAAACAACTTTTGTCACATCCTACTTATTTCTATGGAGAAGACACATCATTGAATGCATGCACACTTGCTAGGATTCTTTAGAATATGTATTGTTTGTTTTAAGATGTGACTTTTTGTGTGTCACTGCAAATGTTTTGCATAGCATGATGATACCTTCCCAATGTCAGTCTCTAAGTAACTTCTAGTAGCCAAAATTTAGTATTAAGGAATGAACAGTAGCCAGTACCTGTATAATGATTTGCAATGAGTATGAAAGTTGTATCTCTTTCTTTCCTCTGCAGGTCTCCAAACAAGGAAAAATAAAACTCTTCCATGCTCATTCTGATATTAACCTGTAGCCTACTTAAAATTAATAAGCCCTAAATTTTTGAACTGCACCACAAAACGATATCTGCATTTAGGCATTTCATCTGCAATGCAGTGTGACTGCCCATTCAGCA